AGGCCCCGGGGTTGGCGGTCCCAATTAACATGGGGGGTTTTAAGGGGGGCGCCCCGGGCAGGGGCGGGCACCAGGGCCAGGCCTTTTGGAACCCGGGCTTGGGCCAGCACCCCCAGGAGGAAATTTCCCAAATCCAATCCCCCCTCGGGGAGGTGGGGGCCATGTTCCAAAAGTTCCCCTCCCTCTTTTCGGAACAGGGAAAAATGGGGCGCGCCCCCCCTTTCGCCACCTTTGGGCCCCCCCTCCCGGGTTTGGGGCTTTTGGGATTGCCCCCCCCCCCCCCCCCCCCTTGCCGCCTCTGGGGCGAGCGCGCCGGCCCGCCCTCTCGCCTCAGGTGCGCCGGATCGACCTCGACACCGAGGTGGCGGCGACCAACGTCGAGCAGGCGCACATACAGATCAAAAAGTTCCAAAAGCACATCTCGGGCAACCGCTCCCTGATCATCAAGTCGTTCCTCGTCCTCTTCTTCTTCATAGTGCTCTTTGGGACCGTGCTCCGGTGAGGCGAGATTTGCACTGGTTGCCGCGACAGCCCTAGGTGTCTTTCTCTTATTTCGTTGTATGTGGCTCTTACTAACTCCTAAAAAAAAAATTGCTAACGCGAAAAACCGGCACACCAATCTCCCTTCCTCTCCCTATCCTTTCTTGGAGCTCTAGAGTCCACACCCCCCTGCCCCGGGATCGCGTACAAGCTGAGGCTACCGTAGGCCACACTAGCGTCGCTGGGGGTTCCCTGCCCTAGATGGGAAGCTGGCCGCTGATCCGAAGACCGACTGCACCAGGGCGCCTAGATATACTCAAGGTGAGCGAGGGTGAAGTTACGCCTTAAATGCCTGTCTCTCTACTGTGGACCTTACTCCGAGCTCGACGGCTCCTCCTATTCCCCCACCCCCCCTCCCCCCCCACTCTCTCCGAGTAAGGGCGTGCGCTACGTCCCCAAGGGGGGGGGGACGTGGGGGGGAGGTGTGACTTTTAGGTTGTAGCGTTTGGGTTTTTGTGGGGCACCCAAACGGTTTCGGTTTTCCTCCTTGGTGCCCCGAGTAGAGCGCGATCTCCCCTGGAGTCTGTCGCGCCCGTTCTGTCTAAGCTCGAGGTTCAACCTTCCAGTTGATCCTTATCGGACTGGTGAGGTCTGCCTAGCCGTCGTAGTGTAGTGCCTGGGGTGCGTCTGCGTCGGTGCTACACACACTCGGCAGGACGCTGCTGTAAATCGTTGCTGCTGGTCGTCTCGCTGTTTGAGTTTGTTAAACGATTCCTTTCGCCATGGTGTTTTTTCTTTTTATGCTTATGGCAGTAAAAAGAAACGGAAACGTGTGCGGCAGGCGCGGGCTCGGTCGATATCCCATACTTCGACTCCCATCTTCACTGCTGCGGTGTGTGCCCGGGGAGGCGCGGCGGCGGGGTGGATTGAGAAGGTCTCAGAATGCAGAGAAGCTGCAGGCGTGCAGAGGCGCGCGCTGCAGTTTCTCTGATCGGGCTGCTGGCGGTGTGCGCGAGACGGCGTGGTGAGGCGTGAGGCAGGCTATTGTTGTGGGGTGCGGGCTGCGTCTAAGCGTATGCGTGCACATGGTGCTGTATGCTGTGTGTGCAGGCAGGCTGACAGGCTGTGCACAGCAGACTGGGCGGATGAGCGAGCGCGCGTGCGGGCGTGCGTGCGCGCCTGGGCCTGCGCGGTGCCGTCGCACTCGCGGCGCGTCCTAGTACAGCCGCTTGTGGGATGCCAGAAGCAGTCTGCAGAGCCTGCACAGGGCGCAAAAAGGCGCAGGTGTGCTGGTGAGGTGTGCTGCGGCGCGCGCGTCGCGGCGTGAGTGGATATGCGGCTTGCTCTGGTGGTGCGAGGGGCGCGCAGCTGGTGCGGGCGGCGCGGGACGGCCATGGGGCGCCAGCACAGGGCAGACGCACATGGCACAGCTCTGAAATGGCGCTGCGCGTGTTTGCGTGCGCGCGGGGACGTACGCGCAGTTTTCACGCGGTGTGCGTGGAGAAGGGCATGAGAGGCGCCGGCCGCGCGTGTGTTGTCGTGTGGGAGTTCGGAGTATGCCCGGAGGGCGGGGTGGTTTAGGGCGACTAGACTTCGCACTGGCGCCGGAGGCCCCAGATATGAAGAAAAGTACTCTTACTAACTCCTACCCGGAGGCATACAGTGCTGCTGGTAGAGCGAGGCTGCGGTGAGCGCGTTGCCGTTGGCGCGGGACAGGACCGAGGACCCTCTACGCTCTAGAGCCGTAGCCTCTTAGGGGACCCCTAGCGCCTAGGCGGTGACCGGTGTAGGCGCTAGGGTTCTGAGGGCCGGATTTTTTTAAGACCTTTTAAGAAACGAGGAGATTTGGGGGCTTAACTTGCCATTTAAGAGATTGCAGGCACGGGGGGTCCCTCTTTTATATAAGACCGTTTAAGAAAATCGGCCTCGCCGGGGCATGCGTCGCTGGGTTCCGCGGACCGCGCCGTTTTCTCCAACACAGACTGCCGTTATTGGGCACAAGTCCGCCTCTGAAGACACATCTGTAAGTCTGGTGCACTGGCAGGAGCCATACTCGCATAGGGGGCGCGTGCCAGCTGACTGTAGCCAGCTTCCCGGCCTCCGGCGTCTACCGGGAGCCTCCCGGACCATCGACCTCGGGAGCTCTCCCGAACCGTTTAAGCGTTTAAGACCGTTTAAGGAATCGGCGGCCCAGGCAGCCTTAAAATGGGCCATGGCCCGCTTTAAGCCGTTTAAGCCGCAGGCGCCCCAGGGCCCACCCTTTTAAGCCTAGGGGTCCCCTAAGCGAGGACCGGGAGCGCTCGCTGTCCCCACAGAGATGACAGCGATTACTCGTTTTATCCATGGCTTTAATCTGATCATTTTTTCGCACCTCCACCTCTGCTGTGTGGGTGTGTGGGCTGCTCACCCGCTGCGAGGGCGCTGCACACACCACAGACACGATAGGAACTACAGGGATATATCCTCAGCAGAAAGCCGTGTGTCCTCCCCCCGCGCGCCCCCCACTGCACTGGCGCCATCGACCGCAGCAGGCCCCGTGCAGGCCACCAGACTGCAGTAGCGCATGCCTGGCAGCGGCCGTCCATGAACGCCTTCGTCTCTCAGGCCGGCTCCCGCCATGGTGTACCTCATTTGTAGGTACTTTTAGC